CAGGATTCCTACTAGGCTAAGGAAATTAAAATGTCAATCCTTATTCTAATAGAGCTTGCACACAAATAAATATTATATAACTGCCAACTGTGATAAAATGTAGAAGAAAAAAAACTAAAGGGAAAGGAACTAGAGGAAGGTCCATGTGGCCGGAGCAGTCATGAGGGACAATGGCAAATGTAGCTGGAGAAATAGGTAAACTCAGATTATATATGGCCTTGAACAACAATGTAAGCCAAGTTATAAAACTTGTATTTTTAATTAAATGATTGATAAGTCATTAACAAATTTTAAGCAAGACAGTCATCATGGTTTGCTTTAGACTGGATGTAGGAATGAGGGAAAAGCAGGTGTTCACAAACAACTCCCAGATTTTTACTTAAGCAACTAGTGGCCTTCTTCAGTTTCCAAATTTATAAAATGAGGAATATGATTTATTATTATCATGTCTAAGGTCCCTTCAAGCTCTAAACCAGTTTAAAATCTTAATCCAAAGTCTGTATCTTAGTATCTACTCTCATGATTTGAAAACAAAATGTTAACAATCTCAAAGTTGCCTAATTCTAGGTGAGTGTAAAAAAATTCCTCAAGGATAGTGAGATTTGGTTCGATCCTCCTCAAACTCCTGTACACTGAAATAACCTAAAAACATTTTGGTAAGAATACTTTATTTTTAAAACACTAACTAAAATTACAATAGCAACTGGGTTAGGTGATCTCTTTTATTCTGAGTTAGGTAAAGTCTTCTCTTCCCTAAATTTGTTTTGTTAATCAAAATATAGCCCTGGCCAGTTTGGCTCACTGGTTAGAGCGTCGGCCTATGGACCAGAGAGTCCCGGGTTCGGTTCCCACTAAGGGTGCGTATCTCGGTTGCGGTTTGTCCCCAGCCCGGTTGGGGTTGTGTGGGTGGCAGCCACTCGGTGTGTCTCTCTGTCTATATTTCTCTCTCTCTCTTCCCCCTTTTCTCCCTCCCGCTCTGAAGATAAATGCAAAAATGTCCTCGGGTGGGTATAAAAACATATATATATATATGTATATGTATGTGTATATATATGTATATGTATGTGTGTGTGTGTGTGTGTATATATATATACTGACCACGTGTGTGTGTGTGTGTGTGTGTGTGTGTGTATATATATATATACACACTGACCATCAAAAATGAAAGAAACTGTTTTACAAGTCCTAATCCCTCACAATATTCAACATACCTTCTGTATATATACTCAAAATTAAAATGTGGTGTTGTAAGTTCACACTAAAATTGTATAGTGCAGATCTCCTTAAGAAACTCTCATATCATTCTTTATAATAATAGAGTATTAGATCTATTTCATAAATACCTATCTAGGTATTTGATTCCATAATTTTATATTAATATTTTCAAGTAAACAAGCCATCCAACTGGCATGTTATCTTTTTTAAATGTATTAATTTATTGATTTGAGAGCGAATAATGCCAGTCCTTCTCAAACTCTCAAAAAAATTGAGAAAGGAACACTTCCAAACTCATTTATGAAGCCAGCATTAACCCTGATACCAAAGCCAGATAAAGACACAAGAAAAGAAAATTACAATTCAACATTTCTGATGAACACATACAAAAAGCTCCACAAAATACTAGCAAACCTAATTCGGCAGCACATTAAAAGACTCATGCACCATAACCAAATAGGATTTAAATCTTGGAATGCAATCATGATTCATCATACAAAAATCAAGTAATGTGTCACAAGACATTAACAGAATGGAAAAAAAAAAAATCACACGATCATCTCAGTAGATACAGGAAATACATTCGAAAAATTTTAACACCCTTTCATGATAAAAAACTTGCAACCACCTAGGAATAGAAGGAAATTACCTTAACATAATACAGGTCACACATAAAAGCCCACAAATTCAATGGTGAAAGCTTTTCCTCTGAGATCAGAACATGACAAGTATGTTGTTCACTTTCACTACTGCTTTGTAACATAGTACTGAAATGTCTGGCCAGACCAATTAGACAAGAAAAAGAAATAAATGGCATCCAAATCAACAAGGAAAAGATAAAACTATCTCTTTGCCGATGACATGATCTTACATAGAAAACCCTTAAGACTCCACACACACTCAAATGTTAGAACAAATTAATGGATTCAGTAAAGGTGCAGGATACAAAAATCAACAAAGATTAGCTTTGTTTTTATATTCTAAGAGAGGACTATCTGAAAAAAAAATTTAGAAAATCTCATCTACAGTAGCATCATAAACCATAAAACACTTGGGAATAACCTTAACTAAGGAGGCAAAGGACTTGTAAACTAAGAATTACAAAACATAAATGAAATTTAAAATGATATAAATAAATGGAAAGATATCCTGTATTCATGGATTGGAAGATATAATATTGTCAAAAAAAAACGGGGAATGATAAAGGACAGGGGAATAACTGTAAAACAGAGTATTAGATGAAGATCACACAAAAGGAAAAAGTGGGGAGATTTTGATAGGAGATAGAAAAATTATCTTGAGTTATAAAGAAAGGATCTTTGTCCTCAGAAACAAAGTATGGGGAAGGTTGATATGGGTAAGTAAGCTGGTAAAGAGAACAGATAAAGTTAAAAATGAAAGAACTGTTTAGCAGTTGAAAGTAATGGGTTGTGGGGCCTAGGCTGGAAATAACAAAAATACAGAAGTGAAGATAGTTTCAGTACATGAGACAAGTTGGAGAATGTGGTCATTAGAATTATGTGGCTAGAGCCACAAAGAGAGGACCATTGGTGTGGAGGTTGTTAAATTGTCAAGTATGATGTTCAAAATGTCATCTATAAAGAAATGAAATCGCCTAGATGGCTGAGACAACTATGATCCAGATGTAGAAATGGGGAGTGCAATTTGACAGACAATAGCAACAAGAAATAGCAGGCTCACCTACACAGACGGCATGTGCCTCAAGAGAAGGTAGGTAGACTAGTATAGTAAATGGAGGACTAGAAAAATGCTGACTCCACTCCCCTCCCTCCTCCCAACACACACACACACAGAGAGAGGGAGAGAGAGAGGGAGAGGGGGAGAGAGGGGTGCATTTCCAAGATATACTGGCTTTGAATAAGGAACAGTTGCCACTTGAAGAGACTTCTGGAGAAGCACGTACCTACAAAAACAATGAGTTTCAGTTAACACAGGAGATGGAATAGGCTTTCTAGGAAGAGTGTAGATTCAAGTTATAAATGAGAAGTTAAGGTCTAAACCAATATTCAAATGACTTTTCAGATTTGAGTTTGAAACCATTATTTCCTTTCAAAAGTATGCAAGCAAAAAATGTTAAGCTCAATGTAACAATACAGGTAGTTTTCTAAAATATACCCAATATGCCAAAACTAGGGAGGAGGGGGGACTACTCAGTTGTCAAGTATGCAGTACTTGATTACCTCAAGAAGTAGTTTGAAATTAAGCAAAAGTATTTATCATTCAGACTGGATTAAAGGTCTGACTAAAAGAGTTTTTTAAGTTGTGTTACTTTCAAATATCCTATTTGATCTGTCTCTCATTAGTGTAATTTTTGGCTGGGATTTATGTTAACTACCAGCGTCTCTGGCATATGACTTACATGCTATCAGGCCGAGGATAAACACACTTCTGAAATACAATGATATTATTAATTGCAGAATTAATACTCTTTCAGCAACTTAGGCCAAAGTAGGCTCAAAGACAAATTAGACCCAATATTATAAATTAGTAGAGTATAAAATTTTTATTTTAAACAGGTTAAATTTCTGCCTTCCCTTTAAAAAAACCGAGGAAAGGTTATTTCCCATTCATTCTGGTTTCTACAATGTGGTGACACTGGAGTAAATGTAGCATCAAGTTACTGGACTTTAAAGACTAAAGGGAGGAAAATTTCAATTTAAAAATAAGTTGCTATGGTTACCAACTGTTTACCTTTATAAGCAATAATTACATGAGATGCCCAAGGAATTCCCACAAGTGCAGGAAGATCAGTAGCTGAGTGTACACTAGTTATTTTACATACAAACTGAGACATACACCAAGTCCATTTCAAAGAAGTTATGGTTTTGGAAACACTAAAGAAAATGATTCACATCCCTCTAAACTGTGGAAGGGTGGAGACAAAAATTCTGAACGTAACTATTTTAAAATCTAAGTGATGACTCAGAGTTTAGAACATTTTTCATATTTTTGTTCTTTATTAAAGAATGCTATCTGAAATTATCAAATTTTGTCAACTTCTATTGTTGAAATAAAGAAAAGATGTTTTTAATGTATTTTGGGTATGGAATTTGTTTGCATAAATAGATTTTAATGCCCTTGATAAACTTGTAAAAAGCTATGCTTATAACTTAATATTACTTCAGAGTAAAGCAACGTTGATTCCTTTAAATATGGTCAATTTTTAACTTCTTAAATGGAAAGAAGGGCCCCTGTCAGAATTAATAATGAGCGCATTATTGACTTAACCAGGTACTTAAACCTGCCTTTCTTTCATTATTATATTACACATTTTTTTATCTGTTATGTTCACAATCAGAACATTCAATATTAGGAAAATACCTATAAATCTTTTGACCACAATATAATTCTAATGTGATTTTAAAATAATAAGGCTCATCATTACATCATAATGGGCTTTCCACAACATGTCTACTTTTCTGCATAATAGACTATCAAATGTTTGTTATTTACTATTAGGGCTATCCTAAACTAAAACAAAATAGCTTGTTACACTCAACTTATTTAAACAATAAAGAGACTTATCATCATAAATAACATATAGTGGCCCTAAGATGACACCTAGCTCCTTCCAGCTTTTCTGTCAGATACAGCACGGACCTTGGGATAATTCCCTTCCTAGTCACAAGGTATCTGATTTCAAGGTATCATATCAGACACGTATTGTGCAGTTAGAACAAGGACCTTTCCAGACATGTGACCAGAGTTGGCACACATGTCCCTTTCCAAACAAAGGTAGAGTAGGATTACCATGATTCACTTACACTATTAGGGATTTCTCCAAGTCACGTGGGACAGAGGTGGGCATCCAAACAAAACTGGAGGCTTGCAAGGAAGGAAGTAGATTATGGCCAGTGAGCAGGCAACCAAAAGTACATTATGTACTACACAGAAAAATTAAATCTTGGCATTTTATTTCAATAGTTTAATTTTCCCACCATTATGAATTAATCACAACACAATATACTGAACAATACCTTGAGAACTCTAGAGATTTAATTTTAAAAGGGAAAAAAAATCATTCATCACTTATTTATCTTAAAATGGACTAAAGGCAATCATTTGATAAATTCCACTGACAAAAGAGATTATTTTATACCTTAGAATATGAAATAATAAATTACACTTTAATTCTGACAAATTAAAACAAAGGTTTTATCTCAAAAATGTTTCCTAGTAATCTCACTTTTCTCCTCTAGGAAAAGTAAGGCTAATGACTATACATAGGTCAGATTGCATCTAGAGTATTGAGATGAGAACACATTCAAAGAGGGTAGTAACCAGGATGAGGGTGGACCTAAAAACCATGTTGTGCTTGGCCAGTGTGGCTCAGTGGATTGAGTGTCCTCCCATGGACTGAGAGGTCCTGGTTCGATCCCTGGTCAGGGCATATACCCAGGTTGTGGGCTTGATCTCCAGTTGGGGGTGGGAGGGCATGTAGGAGGCAGCCAATCGATGTTATCTCTCACATCGATGTTCCTTTCTCTCTCTCCCTTCCTCTCTCTAAAAAGTCAATAAAAACATATGAAAAAAATTTTAACCATGGAAGCGGAAAGTATTTTGTCTGTAATGGAGTCAGGTAGAATATGACAGCTTTAAAATATCTGAAGTGCTGTCATTGTGAAGCAATACCAAATTGCATAGTTATGAAGATAAGAACTAGGATCAAGGGGCTTGGCTGGGTAGCTCAGGTGGATAGCGCATCATCCTGATATGCCAAGGTTGCAGGTTCAAACTCCAGTCAGGGCACATACAAACAGCAATCAATTAATGCATAAAAATGTGGAACAACAAATTGATGTTTTGCTCTCTCTTTCAAATCAATTTTTACAAAAGGAATGAGGATCAATTAACAATAAATAACAAGCAGGAAGATGAAATCTGGTTCAATATAAGATAGTACTTTTTATCTAGCATTATTTTACCTGATGAAACAATGTTGGCTGCTCATATGGGGCAGGGATGAACATTCTAGCCAACCTGAATACCTGATGGTTCTATGCACTTTATGTGCAGTTAGTTGTAACAACATACTTGCAAAGTAGTTTTTAATTGTAATTTCACAGATAAAAGTCTGCACTGGACAAGTAAAACACTGAAAAGAAAAAAAAAAATCACATGGCTAAGAAGTGTAGAATACAGGATTCTAATCCAGGACCATCTGTCTCCAAAGCTGGCTCTTCTCACACATCACAAGCTCAGAGAAGTTAAATTAGCAGTTGTTAAGGAAGCATATGGGATTTCTGAGTTGGTGAAAACTGAATATCATCTGATTTGTAGTCCCTTTCAAAATTAAGATGCCAGAAATGAAAAGTATTACTTCCTTCCATTTGTAGGAGCACTTCCTACTTTAAGAATGCTTTCACAGCCCTGGCCAGTTTGGCTCAGCGGTTAGAGCGTCGGCCTGCGGTCCAGAGAGACCCGGGTTGGGTTCCCGCTAAGGGCGCGTACTTCGGTTGCAAGTTTGTCCCCGGCCCTGGTTGGTCGTGCGGGTGGCAGCCACTCGATGTGTCTCTTCACGTCGATGTTTCTCTCTCTCCCTCCCTTTCTCTCTCTCCCTCCCACTCTATCTGTACAAAAAATGGAAAAATATCCTCGGGTGAGGATAAAAAAAAAAGAATGCTTTCACATCTAATCTCACAAAAAATGCTTTAAGGTAAGTAAGCTGGGCAGCATTATCTCTTGGCATTCTACCTCAGAAAGAAAGAGGACAACAAAGATGAATTCCTTCAACTTCCTTCTGATTGATTTTCAAACATATTTGTTTGTATTTTCAACTTTTGCCCTCTGATATTTCATTCAGTGGTCATTTATTAAGCACTTTATTTTTTTATATCCTCACCCAAGGATGTGTTTTTTAAATTGATTTTAAAGAGAGGAAGGAAGGGGGAGAGAGAGAGAAACATCAACATATAGAGAAACATTGCTTGGTTACCTCTTGTATGTGCCCCCACTCGTGATTGAACCCACAACCTAGGTATGTGCCCTGACCAGGAATCAAACCTGCGACCTTTTGGTGTACGGGACGATGCCCCAAGCAACTGAGCCACCTGGCCAGGGCCAAGCACATTTTAACATGTCTGGTACCAAACCTCATTGATTTTACAGTCTGATGGGAAAAGCTTCTCTTCACATAGGAAAAAATAAGTTTATTAAAAAATATTTCCATCTTCTTACAGACCTTACTTTATCAATTCTGATTCCTTTCTTATATCACACTTTGATTTATCCCTCACTGCTGTCTCTGTTCCTTCCTCCTGACCTATAGAAAACTTCTTTGCCTCCCTAACAAGGTACCACTCCATTTTTGCTTGTTTCACCCTACTGTAATCTGACTTCATACTCATCACTCAATTTAAATTGCTCTAAGGTCACCGATGATTACCTACTGCAAAATCTTCACTTTTCTCAACTACTCTATAACACTGGATACCAGTGATCTTTATTAAACTCTTTTCTTGCTACCTCCATAAAAAGATCACCTATTTTTCTCTACCTTCTTTTCTGACCCCTTTTACTTGGCTTTTCTTTCACCACATGTACTTAAATACTGACTTTCCTTTCAGCCTGTTTTTCCCTCCTGGTCTATAATCTCTGCCTAGACAATCTCATCTATTTCTATAGTATCAGCCATTACCTATGTGATACTTCTAAGTCTTTATTTCCAGTCCTAACCTCCAGACTCAACTTCCAAATGCCCAACAGGCCATTATACCTGCATATTCATATTATCTCAGATTCTGCATGCCAAAATTCAACTTATCATCTCTAGTTCACTCTCCCAAAGTGTTCTTTTTATGAAATTTCTAGGATGGTTAATAGTAATGGCACCACCAATACACAGTTAACACAGATCATAAAAATAATTATCTGGAAGCCTTGCCATATTTTATCTCCCACTTCTATTAGTCACCCAAGTTCTAGGCATTTTACCAAAACACTTCCTGAACTCTCTCTCCCCTCATAGTGACCTACTTCAGACTCACTTCAGTCTTCACATGAGTTATCAAAACTACCACATCAACTCTTGGCTCAATCCTTTCTTTAGTTCTACCTATTCTGGCAGCAGACGTAGGTTATTTCACAAGAACCTCTTCCTTTACGGAGCACATCTGATCCAGACATATTCAGGAGACCCAGGACTGGCCAAAGTACCACCTGCCTACTCCTGCCACATGTTTAGTTCAGGCAAGAACATACAACCACAGCCTTTCTCAGGATCTTCCTCAGGACTTAACTTTCCTGCCTAGGCTATCAGGAAAGATACTCTTTTCTTTGGGGATTATACATAAGGACAATGTAAGCTAACCTACCTATAGGAGGAAAAAAAGAGCAAAGTTTAAAAAGGGAAGGGGGTCATGGAAAATCTGCTGTCACCAAGTTCTGGATCTGGCTGTGCCTGACCATTCCTATCACCTGGCCAATAAATTTCCTTTCGCATTTAAGCCACTTTGAATTGTGATGTCTGTCATTTGTAACCAAGAGTCCTGATAAAAATTCTCTATACCATCCATTACTTTTATAAACCATAAAGTGTTATTTGCCTGCTTTTATTTAGTCAACTAAATTTTATTAGAGTACACCATACTGAAGACATCCACTACCACCTTGTCTTTGTTTCACATATATAAATGTACTTGTTGCAATTCAAACAAACCAGGTCATTTCAAGCAGCTGTGACTTTGTACATAATGTTCCCTGTGCCTAGAATGCTCCCTTCTGACCCGTTTATCCACAAAATATATAGTAGGGCTGTACAAAACAAGGCTGAAAAAATTAGATGGGCCAAACCATGAAGCCCTTGAATGCCATTGAAGTATGTACATTTTAACCTACCGAATGACTGGGAGCTCACTGCGAAATTTTAAATCAAGAAGTGATACAATCATAATTGTATCTTAGAGGCCTTGTTGTGAATGGCCTAAAATGAGGTGAAAACAAAGTCAGAGAAAACAACAGTAGGCTATTGCAATGGTGTAAGCCAGAGGCCACAAGGGATAGTGAAAGGAGTAAATTGGGACTGGTGTGGCTCAGTGGTTGAGCACAGACCCATGCACCAAGAGGTTGCTGGTTCGATTCCTGGTCAGGGCACATGCCCAGGTTGTGGGCTAAACCCTCATTTGGGGAAATGCAGGAGGTGGCCAGTTGATGTTCCCTCTCATTGATGTTTCTAGCTCTCTCTCCCTCTCCTTTCCTCTCTCTCTAAAAATAAATAAAGAAAAAAAATTTTTTTAATATACAGTATCTAGGATGGGGCAAAAGTAGGTTTACAATTGTTTGTATGGAAAATAATACAATAACTGATAAATAATGCAAGAATAATGTTTCACGTACTCACAACTGTAAACTTACTTTTGCCCCACCCTGTATATCATAAAAAGAAATTGAATAATATCTAGAAACCAAAAATTTTAAGAATTTTTTAAAATATGGGACAATACTCATAAAAATGTTAAGTGGAACACAATACTATATGCAATATGATTCTAATGATGTTAAACAATGAAGGCCAGAAGGATTTTTTTCCTTTTTGTTGATTTTATTGGGTAATACTGGTTAACAAAATCATACAGGTTCCAGGTGCACAATTCTACAACATATCATCTATACACTGTATTGTGTTTTCACCACCCCAAATCAAGTCTCCTTCCATCACCATTTATCCCAATACCCTCTTCCACCTCTCCCCACCACCCCACCCCCAGCAATCACCACACTATTGCCCATGTCCATGAGTTCTTCTTTTTTTAATCAACCCTTACCTCCTCCACCTAGTCCACCCCACCCCCTCCGCCCTTGAAAGCTGTCAGCCTGCTCTCTCTGAGTCTGTATCTATTTTGTTTGTTGGATCATTTTGTTCATTAGATTCCATATATGAGTGAAATTATATGGTACTTGTCTTTCTCTGACTGGCTTATTTCACTTAGCATAATGCTCTCTAGGTCCATCCATGCTACTGCAAAGGGTAAGAGACTTTTTAAAAATAGCAACAACAATAGATTAGTTAAATCCATGGCAGGATTCTGGGTAATTTGTTCTTTCCTTCATAAGTCTACACATTTGTTCTTTTCTGAGTAACACCACTCCTTAGTCACAATTTGCTAAACTCAATCACTACTTTACAAGTAAGAAAAATAAGTCCTGCAGGGGTTATGCGACAAAAATGCACATTCCAATAAGTAATAAGAATTAGGACCAAAACTTGAACACTCAGATGTAAAGACTCACCAATAAAAAGCAAACCTGTGAAGTGAAAGCCATTTAACCCACAGCTAAAGAGAACCTAGAATAGTTGGGCCCTTAATGTAGAATGAAGCTGTTGAGAATTTAAACTTGCTGAGTTATATTAACAGCCTCTAAATTCATACCTCAAAAACATCAAATAGCTAGTGAAGAACAGACTACAAGAAGGTGTCATTTAAAATGCTTTTTTGTATAACTTTGTTTTTCTATAAATAATTCTTCAAAGAACAGAAAAGGAAATGACACTAGATTGGAGAAAGAAGGCCTCAGAGAAAGGTGTTAAGAGAAACTGATGTTCCAGAGTCCGTACTTACTTTACCCTTTAAAATGTAAGTGCATGATTTATTACATCGTTATTATTTCCTTTGAATTGGGATCCCCACAACCTTGTTACACCTCAAGTAAATTTTACAGAATTAAGTATTTAATTCATTCAAACATGATAACTATCAAAAAGTCACTTAGTAACTAACAAAATAATTTGAATATAATATTGTGAAACAAAAGGCTTCAATGAAAGGAGTTTCTCCTACTGGATAGGAGAGAATGATCATCAATGCAACTTTAAAAGCCTGAGCTATCTGTATTTTTTTTGTAACATCACCAGTTAAGAAGCTGTGTTTTATTTGGATGTCACTTAAATTATAGTACCATCTAAAAAAAACTAAAAACATCTAAAATGTTTGTAAGGTGGTAGATTAAAGATTATATTAGAAAATCTAGTCAAGTATATATAGCTCTTAATCATTTCATATACAAGGATTTATCATTTAAAAAAATAATTATTATATATTATATCCAAATGATGGTTATACTTCACTAGTTTTAATTTGCCCATCTTTATGACCAACTATATACCACTATTATAATTTCATTGTTCTTTATGATGAATTTTAAAACGATTCCTTATGTAAATTTATAGTTTGCAGAAACCAATGCAAACGCACCACCCAGTGGTAAAAGATGAAAATTACAACTTATACAGTAATCAAATAGCAAAAAGTAGTTGAATTTATGACTCTGCCTAGTCTCCAACATACATTTCCAGGAAAGAAAAAATAAATGGGCAATATATTATTGACAGTGTCTGCTATTTGTTACCACTTTCCCAATCAAATCTTATTCTTACTCTCTTAAGTTCAACTTTTCTTTTTCTGACTTGCCCATCCATTACCCAAATGCTTGATTGAATCAGGATAGGAGTATTTCAAGATTCATCCAAAGCCTTAATTGAGCCACAGGTTAGAAAAATGATTTATAAAGAAGAGAAATAAGGTATGTGCCGTGAATTTCCAATGGAATTCTAGTCAATAAGAGCCATTCAAGGTATCGACAAATGAGAGGCATATGTTGTTGTTGTTTTAATTTGGTAGACAATTCTGAAAGGCCAGATAAAGATTCACAACTGGTTAATTCATACAGAATTCAGAACTTTTACAGAAAATATTAATCTTTAATTATAGCAATTATTCCAATTTGAAGAACAAAATCTAGTAAATAATGTTTTCCCAATAATTTGCTCCCCTCCTACCAGAATACAGATGGATAAAATCTTTCAGCTTTCAACATAACAGCTTTCTAATCACCTCCTCGTCTTTAAAAAATGTTTGACTTAAGAACAAATTATAACAGAAACACCAATAAAGGTGATTTTTTTGTTTTGAAACGCCTTTGCATCAAGCCAATTTTATATCAAATGGTATTACCATTTGGATAATAAAATATTTAACAAAAAAGTACAGCAGGTTGCAGCTTGGTAATGGTAAAGAAGCCAAATACTTGGTTACGGTTTCTTCTTTTCTACAGAATCTTTCAATATGCATGAATTTCAAAACCTAAATAATGCCAATAATATCAAACTAGCTTGTATTATCTTCACTAGTACCTTCCTGTCTAAAACCTCTACGTTTTATGAGATTTTTTTTCTAACTACTTTCTCTAAAGCACAAGAGTCACTCACACAAGTGAGGTTCCCTAGTGATTAATGAATGGCTAATAATTATCATTTACAGTGTATACTACAAACATATAACATGTAACAGAATTAGCTATGAGCAAGGTGATGCACATAGCTGGACAAGAGATGAATGAAAACATCTAATAATTCATTAGTTTTTCATGATAAAATAAAACTATTTGTAATACCATTATTTTCAGCTATTTAATATTCTCTTCTCTAAACTACAACACAGAGATTTTAAGCCCCACCACCCAACACACACACACACACCCCTCGCCCCTGAAAATCTATCGTAATTATTAACTTGCTACATTAAGTCTTCCAGGAATACATGGCCTATCACACTTATAAACAAAGTGTCTACAACAAAAGATTTCAGCTAATACTAAGTATTTTTTGCATACACATATGTTTAAAAGCTGTTTATGTTATGAGGAGGCATACATAGCAACAAACTAACAAATTACAAGAGCTGCCTATTTGACTGCAGAGAGACCACCAGAAAATAACCTACCATAAGAGGAATCCCCATACTATTTTCCTCTGGTAGAAGCAGTAGTTGTATTGTTTCAATTCCACTCTCAGGCCTGTAGCAAAAAACAGATATCAAAAGCAAGAATATGCTGGGACCAGAAACGAAGGGCTATATTATAAAAATAACTAGTACCTTAAAACACTGAATTACTGGATAATATTAAAAATCTTACTAATTCAGATCTTGGTTTCACCATTCTACCAAGAAAAAAATTATTATTAATTATTATTTATCTGTGTAATAGGAGTTTTAAAAAAGGTTTTCTTTATATATGAACCAATCAATCTTTACTGTATTCTCAGAAGACACTCAAAATTGGGGTTTGAGTCTTAGAATTCCTAGCACTAACAACAAGACATTTTCATTTTTTGAAAAAGAACTACTCAAATATATATTCACTATGACAATCAAATAATTCCATGGGGTGTCTTAACCTAAGAAACTGTCTATAAAGAATAAAATATTCAATCTATATAATTTCTAAATATTTAAAACATATTCATTTTAGAAATATATAAATTGAAGAAATCATATCTCTCAAAGAGAAACACTGGCAATTATTTCCTATATATGTACTTTTAATCCTCACCCAAGGATTTTTTCCCATTGATGAAGGGGAGAGAAACATGGTTGTGAGAGAGGCACATCAATTGGTTGCCTCCCATAACCAACGTATGTGCCCTTGACTGGAATCAAGCCCGCAACTCTTTGGTCCATGGCCTGCCACTCTAACCGCTGAGCCAAAACCAGCCAGGGCTATATGTATACTTTAAAAATCGTGATGATTACTGCTTAGTAACTTGCCCCATCTTCCTCCCTTTAACAATGTGAACTTTTGCCCATCTCCTTAAATATTCCTCCAAAACATTTTCAATGATTATATATACATAATATTCAAAAGTAATATATTACTGTATTTAATCAATTTCCTAAAATTAAACATTTGGGTTGCATCAATTTTTTAATTTAAAAATTTTTTTTCTTTATTGATTTGAGAGAGAGGAAGGGAGAGGGAGAGACAGAAACATCGATGAGAGAGAATGTTGACTGGCTGCCTCCTGCATGACCCCCACTGTGGATCAGCCCCCCAACCTGGGCATGTACCCTGACTGGAAATCAAACCAGTGACCTCTTGGTGCATGGGCTGATGCTCAACCACTGAGCCACAAAGCCAGGCATTAATTCTTATATAAAAATTTTTCAAGGATTGTATCCCAATAGTTATTTTAATAAAATGGATTGCTTTCAAATAAGTGAAATTATGCCTAAAATATTCTGGAACCATAATTCTTAGGTGCAATGGCCTAGAAAGAACAAATGTCAGAATTAGATTCCCTGTATAAAAGTATATTGTCAACCACATTTCTTATTGGTCTGAAAGAATCATCCGTTTTTAGTATCTTTGTCATTGTGATTACTACTATGTTCTAATATGCCAGTATCTTAGGAGATAGAAACCATCCTGTCCACTCTGGTGAATAGCTCAGAATTTAAACATATTAACTTTGTCATTCTCCTCTTGTCAAAACACTTTATGAACAAATTAACCTCATAAAAAATATTAATGGGTCATTACTTTTATTACTACCCTAATAATGTAATAGACATAGCAGTATTATTAATTTGCCATTTGGTGGCAGCAAATACAAAGAAAGTAAATTTGCAAGCACCTCTAGCTACTGTATTATTACAATACAAGGTTAGTCTTCCCTGAGTCATGTATTTTAAATAAGTTTCAAATAAAAAATAATGCTTCATAGGTTTTAATAGTTACGTAGGTAATCTTAATATTCAAGCTCAAAACAGTATCATGATCAAATTTCTAATTTACTGACTGAAAATAATATCATTGTGCTACTAAACCATTTACAATTAAATTTATAATTTAATTGTAAAACTATGTGATCTTGATGTTTATCAAAAAAAGTAACTGCAAAAGCTTTTATTTATACTAATATATTCAGGGGTGGGCAAAAGTAGGTTAGTAATAATATAATTAATAAATAACACAAGAATAAACTATTTCATGTACTCAAAACTGTAAAGCTAATTTAGCCCTCATGTCCATGTGTGTTTATCATGTAAAAATTACATTTTCTTACTTTAATCAAATTCAGCTAGCCTGTCTTACCACCCCTATGAATAACTTATGCAATAATTATTTAATAACTACTTATGTGCTAAGTACAGCAGTGAACAAGAGAAGTAATTTCTAGCTTCATGAGGCTCAGACAAAAATCCTTCGTATAGTCCTTTCCCCTGACTTGTAATATGGGCTAGTAAAAGACCTGCTTAGAAACCTAAATATTATACAAATATATATACTACAACATTATAGTTTTCCTCTACATATAATTTACAAAAAAACACAGAAAAATTAGAAGGAAATACAACAGAGTTTTAATTTTTGTATTATGATTGTCTTAATCCCTCGTTTTGAAATATCAAGTTATTTCAAAAGAAAAAATGTTTGGTGCCTTTAATTTACTACTGTTTATTCACCACCCCCCCCCAAAATACTAGTAGCTAAAATAACAGAATTACATCAAGCTGAAAAATGTATGTAGAGTATATTTTCACAAAGAATTATCCCATAACAAAGTATGTCGGACTTCTCAGTCACTTACTTATAGAAATCATTGCCAAAATGTCTTATAGTCCAAGACATAAAAAAGCAGGGGCTAGAATCACGAGTGAACTCAAACTAAAACTAAATTTGTGCACATACTGACAGCTTAACCACAGAATTAAGTGCACCTGAATACTGTAAAGACCCAGTTTACCACGACAAGAAGAGCCCATTTACATCAGTATATCCAGCTCTATGGCTTTGCCTATTAGCACACAACAGTAATGAACAATGTCATGTATGAACCTTTCTCACTCACACTGATGATTGGATCTTGTCAGCAGAAGAGAGTTTTCACTTCCTTTTTTTTTTTTTTCAAAGAAGGAGAGAGAGAAACTTCTATGTAAGATAAACTGATCAGTTGCTTCAAACCAGGATCAAACCTGCAAGGTAGGTTTTTGCCCTGACCAGGAATTCAACCCTCGACTTTCGCATGCAGAAGACAATGTTCCAACCAAACCACACTGGCCATGGCTTTATTTTCTTGTTTTACTGTTTTTGTCAACAAGATACAAGATTTTATAGGCTGAAAATTAACACTGGCAATTTCCTATGACCCAACCTAATTAATACCAATTATTCACAACATAAGTTCCTTGAAGGCAGGCACCATTTCTTATTCCCCTCAAAATGCCCAACTTCTTCTTTTTAATTTTTTTTTTCTTTATTGATTTTTTAGAGAGGGTAGAAGGGAGAGGGAGAGAGACAGAAACATTGATGAGAGAACATCAATTGGCCGCCTCCTCCATGCCCCCACTGCGAATAGGCCCACAACCTGGACATGTGCCCTGACCGGGAATAGAACCTGTGACCTCTTGGTGCATGGGTCGATGCTTAACCACTGTGCTACACTGGCCGGGTAAAATACCCATCTTCTAGTAAAGGAGAAAGAGAAGTAAAAAGTAAATTGCCAAGCAGTGCAATAAGTGCTTTGGATAGCAGTTTGTGTGTGTGTACGTGTGTGTGCGTGTATGTTTAAAAGAGGGGCACAGACATACATATGGTTCATTAGAAATCACAAGATATACTAGTCAATGATGAATGATGTCAGGAAAACTGGAAGCTCCCTGGAAAATAAAGTTAAATAGAATTCCTTTGTTCAGTGATCACTATACTGAGATGTAGTGTTTAAAGAAATATAGACTTGGCCGGTTTTGCTCAGTGGTTAGAGTGTCAGCCCTCAGACCAGAGAGTCCCGGGTTTGGCTCCCACTAAGGGCACATACCTCAGTTGCAGTTTGTCGCTGGCCCGGGTTGGCAACCAGTCAATGTCTCTCTCTCACGTTGATGTTTCTCTCTCTCTTTCTTCCCCCCCTCTCCCTCCCGCTCTATCTGAAGATAAATGCAAAAATGTTGGGTGAGGATAAAAAATAATAATAATAATAAAGAAATATAGCCCTATTGACTTCCAATATGATATTGAATAGGAAAGTGGAGAGAGCAGACCATCTCTGCTTTGTTTTTCATCTCAAGGAGAAATCAGTCATTAGTTTCCTAGTACTTTTAGAAGAAACAACAGGCATACAATTTGGAAAGAAAAATAAAACTGCCTGTGTTAGCAGACATAATTGGTTGTCTATATAGAATATCCCATGGAATCTCCAAAAAAGTTCCCAGAACTAGTAAGTAAATTTAGCAAAATAATAAATATAACTATATTTCAACATAGTACCAAGGACTGAAAATCAAAATGTTAAAAGCAGTACCATTTATAATAGCACCGTCAAAATTGAAATACTAAGATATAAATTTAACAAAATATGTGCAGAATCTCTATGCTGAAAACTATAAAATACTGATGAAGGAAATAAAAAACCTAAATAAATGAAGAGAGATACCACATTCATGGATTGAGAAACTCAATACTGTTACAATGTCAGATTTTCCTCTTTTAATCTACAGACTCAATGCAATTACCAATAAAAGTTTCAGTGGTATTTGTAGAAATAAATAAGCTAATTCAAAAACTTATATGGAAAGGCGAAGGAAGTAGAAGAACCAAAACAATTTTTTAAAAGAATGAAGTTGGAGGATTCACCCCTAGAAAGCTACAATAGTCAAGGGATGATAATGAAAGAACAGACACACAGATTTGGTGAAATGGAACGAAGAGCCCAGAAATAGATACACACATATGTGGTCAATTGATTTTTGACAAAGTTGTAAAGGCAATTCAACAGAGAAAAAAAAATCTTTCCAAGAAAACAGTCTACAACAAGTGGATAATCTATTTACCAAAACAACAACAAACCACTTAGACCTCTACCTAATATTATACACAGTAATGAACTCAAAATGTGCCATAGACCTAGATTAGATGTATAACATGAAACTAAAAAATTTCTCGAGGAAAATATAGAAGAAAAATCTTGGTTACTCTGGAATAGGCAAAAATCAAAAGTATAATCCATAGATAAAATACTGATTTATTAAAATTAATCAAAATAAAGAATTTTCTGCTCTTTGAAAGATATTATTGAGAATGAAAATACAGGCCACAGATTGAGAGAATATACTTGCAAATGAGATATCTGACAAACTACTGATATCCACAACAAATAAAAAATTA